GCGAGTCTCGCTCCGCTCCTCACGACACTTCTGCTCATCCACCGGCATCACTGAACCTCTGAGTAAAACCTTATCAGAGGGTGGAGCACGCGGAGGCATGAAGGCGGCCTTGAGGCCTTGGGTGAAAGTTGGATGGGAAAAACCCGTCGGTAGTTTCCAAGACCCCAGCCGAGGTATCAACATAAGATTTACGCTTAATCGTTAGGATATTGGCTCCTTGGGACTTCGGGACTCTTAGCTGGCATGGTGCTGGTCGGAGGATATACCAGATTGTCTGGTGCTGGCCTCTCGATGACCAACTGGAAATTCCAAGTAGCCTGCGCATAGCCTCCTCTATTGAGCTCTCATTAGGGATCGCTCCCACCTAATACTCCCGAGGCTTGGGAGCATGAATTCCTCCGCTACCAAGAATTTCCTGAGTACCAGCGAATCCACAAGGTGATGTCATATCGCAGCCTCTTCGACAGTAGGACCTGCGATTCTTCAGAACACAATGACAGTTGATGAGTTCAAAGAGATATACCTTATCGAGTGGTTTCATAGAATGCTCGGAAGAGGTACGCTAACAGCTTGATCAAGGTCCAACAGACCGCTGCAGGTATCGGGATATTCGTCGGAGTGCCCTTTATTTTCCTATCACTGAGCAGAGTCATTAAGTGGCCCTTGGGGACCCGCTTAAGTCTCCTCCTGGGTGCCGGTGCCACACAAGTATATACCTTCCTACGATAGCGAGTGTCACTGTTCGTATCAGGGTATAGTCGGGTGGTGGATGGTTCGCTCTGGTCTCGAGGAGAACCCTGATCCCTATGCGAGGCCTCGAGTTTCCAGCTATCGCATGTGCTCCCACTGGCTAATGGCACTGCTTCTCTATGGAGGTCCGTGGCTCGCAGCGCCATCGTTACCCTCACAGCAGAGTTAACCTCTCAGGTACCGTATGGTGCGGTTTGTCAGTACTCAGACCCACTCCAGCATCAACTAAGCTGGCGTCGCTGACTGCTCTGAAGTCCCTCAGGCGCTGGGCTCTCGTACCCACTCTAGCAGCCTTGATTACCCTCGCCAGCGGGCCCTTCGTTGCCGGTGAGTCGACT